GGAGAACCCGGCGGTCGCTTCACCCTGAAAATCCACATGCCATCGACTATGTTCGCCCGAGACGGGGAAACTGCGTCGACGTAGGTGCCTGTGGACTTCCAGGATGCCATCTTGGCATCCATGGCTGCCTGCCACTGAGAGGAGTAAGGACCCGTAACCGCCTCTGCGTAAGAGCGCAAGGTCGGGATGTCTGGTGCATCCGGGTCTCCCTCAGGGGCAAGCAGCATGGAAGCGAAACGAGGTACAGCAGCTGCAAGACACTCAAAGTCCTCCTGCCTGTCCTCAAGGACGTCCGTGCCAAGAGCACACTCACCCCTGACGGACGGAGGACTGGCAGACTCAGACTCAGCAACAAGAGCAGTGGCGTAGTCTAGACAACAGGCAGCAGCAAAGTCAGCTAGCTCAGCAACTAAGGCAGACGCAGTATTGGACTCAAAGGAAGGGTCAGTGACAACAGTGGCGAGGAGACGAGAGACAATGGGACTGGCCGCACGAGCACGATCGGACTCAGGGTCAGGGACGGTAGGAAGAGAGGATTCAGGAGGAGGCAACAGAGGAACACGCAGTGCAACAGAGGAAGGACGAATTGCCATAGCGTGTGTGCCGGGGACAGGAGGGGGACGCGGACGAGGAACGCAACGACCAGTGCGAACAGGGGAGGCAGGACGAGACTAAGGCTCACGGCGCTCTGTAAGACCGCCGGTCTGTTCAGTGTAAGGAGAAGGAGCAGGCAGTGGGGAGGTTGGCGGTAATGGCGGCTGCGACTGGTCAGGCAGTGGACACAGTAAGGGAGGAGTAGGGTCAGTAGAAGGCTGGAAACCAAGAACCTGCTGAAGCAGGGGAACGAAGTATGGTCGCAGCCGCACAGTGCCTCCAGCACCTCCAGCTCCAGGGTCAACAGCTCCAGCTTCTCCAGCTCCAGCGCCTCCCGTGCTAGTGCCTCCAGCTCCAGCGCCAACAGCTCCAACTCCTCCAGCCCCAGCAGCTCCAGGCTCTGTAGGGTCTCCAGCTCCAGCTCCCCCAACACCACCAGTCCTGGCAGCTCCAGTACCCCTGGTACGAGCACCTCCAGGAATAGCAGCCGCAACACCTCCTGTACCACCAGCTCCAGCAGTAACTCAAGCACCCCCAGACTCCGCACCCTCGGACTCAGCACCCCCAGGCTGCACACCCTCAGACTCAGCATCCCCAGGCTCAACACCCGCAGGCTCAGCACCCGTAGGCTCCGCACCCCCAGGCTCAGCACCCCCAAATCCGGCACCCTCAGACTCAACACCCCCATGCTCCGCACACCCAGACGCAGCACCTCGAGCAGCACCTGAGCCGACAGCTTCCTCAACAGGCGCAGTACCAGGGAGAGGGTCTACCTAAGACACACCTGAGGGATCGCAAACAAAGGAACGAGAAACCCAGACCCGGAACACTGACGCATTGCCAACCTTCCCCGTCCAACGCAGTGTAGGCGAGTTTTCCGGCAAGGAGACACGGGTTCAGAGGTTGAGCTGATGCGTAGCGTACCGGACCGCAAACGGCCAAAGAAAATGGGAGCAGCCGCATGGATCATGGAGGTACGAGCGACCTCCATGACTAAGCCAATGCAGCGCTCAGCAATCCCATTTTGCTAAGGAGAGTCCGGAAGCGTGAACGACTGGAGAATGCCCTCCCCACGACAAAAGTCCCACAAGAGGTCGGAGGAGAACTCACCACCTCTGTCATAGTGCAGACGTAGGACAGGAAGGTCCTGGCGGAACCGCTCGCGGAGCTGGAGACGGACTGCGCGGATCCAAGGGATCAAGACATCAACAACCTGACCCTTGCTGCGCAAGAGGAAGACCGTGGTGTACCGCGTGTAGTCGTCAACAACCAGCAAAAATTAGCGCTCGCGGCCCTGTCCACTGACGCGGGCTGGGCCCCACACGTCCATGTAGAGAGTCTGCAGGGGAGCAGTCGTCGGGGGAAACGAGGAGGAGTGAGGAGCGGCGTGCTGCCGCCCCTCGACGCAAGGCAGGCAGGGCGGGGCAGGCGAGGGCGGGAGGGGAGGCAGAGACCTGGGAAGACCAGAGACAAGGATGCGAGAGTGTATGCCACGAAGGCGTGGCAGGGAGGGGTGACCCAGGCGGTGGTGCCACAGAAGAGTCTGGTGCGACAGGAGGCGACACGAGCAAGGGGGTGCTACCTGACCTGGCGCAGACACTTGGGCAGACGCAGCTACCTAAGGAGGCTCGACCCAGGCTGACGAGTGAACGTGGCCAGGTGACGGCCCGTCCGTGTACACGTGCAAATCGACAGACGCTGACCCCCAGGAGTGGTGGTAGTGACCATCGCGTCCCGGAGGGCAGCGGTACTCACCAACTTCGTAGAGAACGAGGGGAGGTGAAGACCTGACAGTGAGCCGGACGGAACCGCCGGACACGGGAGCACAGTGGAGGAACGGGCGAGGGCTGGGCCCCCGGAAGGGTCAGCCAGCCTGATCGGTACAGGTGCAGAGAGAGGAGTGAGGGTAGTGCTGTCGCGAAAGAAATAGCGTGAGGCACCTGAGTCAAGTGTGAAGGTGTGCAAGGCCTCGGCAGGCGCAGTACCAGGGAGAACAGACTCACTAGCACCTAGAGCAGCAGCCTCTATACCTGGGTCAGGCGGCACACACAGGTAACAGTCACCCTCAGCACTAACAGACCAAGCATAACATCATAGTCTAGGTCAAAGATAGCAACTCCAGACCTAAGCAGCTCTGCCCAGCGTGGGCGCTCGGCCTCGTCACCAAACTCTGCGCGCCAAGCGTCGTCGAGGCGGGAGAAGCAGCGGTGCTGAAGGTGAGGCTTCCCGCATGTCTGACCAGCACGGTCACCCGTGCGAATGACATACGGGCAGTTACCACTACCCCCAGACGCCCCACGCTGAGAAAACCACTCACGAAGTTGCTGAGGCGACGGGGTCTCGCTCCGACGTTGCTGCTGCTGCCGTTGGCCACCTCCCGAACCTCCACGCTGAGTAGCTCCAGCCCTACTGCCACCACTCCCACTGCCGCCACTACCGCCACCCCCACCGCTGCCCCCGCCGACTCCACCAAAGCCCCCACTCCCGCCACCACTCCCACTACTGCCACCGCCTCCACTGCCTCCACCACCTTTACTGCTGCCCCCACCACCACCCCCGGTGACGGGCCGGGGCGGCGGGCCTAGTGGCGACGGGCCTAGGGGCGACGGGCCGAGGCTAGGGGCGACGGGCCTACGGTCGACGGGCTGGGGCGACGGGCCTAGGGGCGACGGGCCAGGGCGACGGGCCTAGGGGCGACGGGCCGGGGCTAGGGGCGATGGGCCGGGGCTAGGGGCGACGGGCCGGGGCGACGGGCGACGGGCCGGGGCGACGGGCCTAGGGGCGACGGGCCGGGGCGACGGGTCTAGGGGCGACGGGCCGAGGCGACGGGCCTACGGGCGGCGGGCGACGGGCCGGGGCCTAGGGGCGACGGGCAGGCCGCACGAGGGCGGCACGAGGGGCAGTAGGTGCGACACGAGGGTCGCTAGGGGCTGCTAGTGGGCCAGCGCTGTGGTGGGCAAAAAAAAAAACGGTCCTAACGAAGGACCTGCTCTGAAACCATGTCAGAATAACGAACGAGAATGAATGAACTGAAAGAGTTGGGTACAAGTACTAATCCTAATTGGGTTGTACCCCTTATGGGCTACCCCACTATATCATACACAAATGTAAGCACTATAACATTCTGACAGCTGTCGGCAGTTAAAATAGGATATGCAATATAATTTAATAATAGCAGCAGTTACCTTAAGAAAGATATAAAGAAAGTAAGCCAGTAAGTAAGAAAGAGACGATTCCAGTGGAAAAAAAAAATTTGCGTGTGTGGTGTTTTCCCGTTTCGGCAGATTTCTGACTATGATAACTAAATTGGACTTTGCGTGCCATCAATCACTGCCATATTGGATAAATCCGAACTAATTTTTGGAAGGAAAAGAGGGATTGGATGAAGAAGCATTTCTTGCAGAGAACAGGAAATTTATAAGATTTAAGATAATAGAAGATTCAACCATAGCTAAAATTGGAATATAGTACGCTGAGGAATATCGGAGATTCCACTACAGCCAATTCACGAAATAGCCTTTGCCAGCGCACGCTGCTTGCTTGTGCTGGTTCTTGGGAAGCTCCATCATTTTTTCGAATGTCAGTCGCAATGTTCGTTCAGGCGAATTTAGGAGGCGCATAGTGGAGTAGCAAGCAAGGGAGTTCGCGGCTGGGAACGAAAGGTGTCAACCATGTTTGAGGCTCACGTAAGTCTTGCCGTTTTCTGGTTCCTTTCCTCGGCGCATTAAGGGGCGTTTAACGTGACGTCAAGCTGGCTAGCTTCTTGGGCCAACGAGACATCAGGAGGGCTTGATGCCTGCCGGTTGCGTAACTCGACTGATTGGATTTTACTGTCGAAAATAAGTGTCTCAAATCTAGTCAGAGAGCCCCAAGTTGACTCGACTTGGCCAAACTACCGATCGAGTTTCACGAGACGTCAGTCATGCATATCATCGCGCGGTGTCCACACGTCCTTCGATCCCTGGTTGAGTTGACTCGCAGGTGCTGGGCCTGCTGCGAAAGTATCTGGGCGAGTATGTGCGCAACATCCCAGACGAGGCGCTCAAGATCAGCGTCTGGCAAGGTCAGACTCCCCGGATCTCCCCTCGCCTTCCCTCCCCCCTTTCCTCCTCCCCTCCTCCCCCCTTTTTCCCTCCTCCCCCCCACCTCCCCGTTCCCCTCCTTTCCGTCCCCTCCTCCCGCCCCTTCCATCCCACTCCTCTCTCCTCCGCTGTCACACACTGTCGTGCCAATTGATCCTCGCCGTCTTTTTTGTGGTTCAGCGTTACTCCTGGTGCGTATTACTGTGCATAATTGTGTCTCTTAATTCTTGTCTGCCTGCCTGTTCATGTTGCTGTGCCGCTGCATCCTGCTGTGTGTGCTCACGTTCTTGTGCCTGTTCATGTTGCTGCGTGCGCCCCCACCAGGCGACGTGGTGCTGAGGGACCTGCAGCTCAAGGAGGAGGCGCTCAACCGCCTGCGCCTGCCCATCGCCGTCAAGGCCGGCTTCATCGGATCCGCCAACCTCAAGGTCTGGGCTGCTCCTCCCCCGCTGCTCGCACTGCTCGCATGCATGCTGCTCTAGTATTTGTGCTTCTCCCTTTTTTATGCGGAATACTTGAATTGGTCCGATTGACCCTATCGTCCTCTCACGTCCCCTCAGTCGTCACCTTATTTCAGCGACGTGCTGGCAGGATCTCTGGCCGTTGCTGACATGGCGTACTGTCCCCTAACGAGCACATCGAGCACATCAAGTGCCATAATGTGCCAGAATGTGCTGAACAGGTCGCTTAGTGTGTACATGATGTGTCCCTAATGTGGCATCATGTGTCTCAATGGTCACATGATGGGCGAGAAATGTGCCGCAATGTGTTATATTGTGCACTTAGGTGCCATACTGTGCTGCAATGGGCCGTAATGTTCGCATAACATGCTGCTGTTGTGCCATGATTTTTCTGCAGTGTGCGGTAGCGTGCTGTCATGTGTCATCCCTGCCTGCCGCGATATGCCATAACCTTTCGTAGTGTGTCATGCTGTAATGTGGCATCACGTGTTGCAACGTTCACTCAATGCGCAGATGGTGTGCCGTAATGTGCCTTGTTGTGTTGCAATGTGCCCTAATGTGCTGTAATGGTTGCATATTGCATACATGATGGTACATAGTGTGCCTCAAATGTGCCATAGTCTGCTCTAGTGTGCCATAATGTGCCATAAAAGGCCATGGTGTGCCATGAATCTATGTTGGAAAAGTCGTGCCCAGCGCATTATACGCAAGCGTATATACGCTTGCGTATAGTGCGTTATGCGCTTCGTGAGTGACTTTGAAAGTCGCAGAAAGTACGCTGCCCGGGCAGCAAAAGGTTTTTACCGGGCAGACGAAAAAAACCGCCGAAGGAGGGGGGGGGAGTGGTGGTTTTACCGAATTTCATATATTGAAAAAACCTTACATTCTCAACTACTCTAAGCAAGCAACATGCATCTCTCCTACCCCACCCCCTAGCAACAGGCTCGGGGTAGGGTAGGAGAGATGCATTCTCAACTACTCTAAGCAAGCAACATGCAACTCCTCTACTTGTACTCATCCTCCAGCTCATCCTCCTCCCCCTCCTCCTCATCCTCCTCCAGAACCTCGTTGTACCCTTCCGGCAGGGAGGCCTCAGGGATGTTCCCCGGGAGAACCGTCACCCCCTCAGCCCCCTTGTGCCAGTTGCGCACAATGTTCCAATTGTGCGCAACATACACGAGGTCCCGACACTTCTCGGACCCCAACCTGTTGCGCTTGGCAGTGTGGATCGATTCCCACACTGCCCAGTTCCTCTCACACGCCGATGCGGACACTGGCTGAGAGAGAACGCGGCAAGCGAGCGTTGTCAGCTCGGGGTGCTCCGTCCCGTGCCACGTCCACCACTGGACGGCCGTCTTCTTACCGGCCTTCACGAGCTCACGGTCAGAGATGGCGTCGGGTAGGCCGAAGCTCCCCTGAAGGGTGTTGAATGCCGTCAGGCCATCCTGGATGACGTGGGATGCGCGCAGCTCCTCGCCCTCCTTGCGCGTGACGGTCCGCCCTGCGTAGTGACGAGCGACAAACGCTTTGAAGACGCGAGTACACTCCAGGTCGGTGCGGAAGATGCCTTCCTCTTGGTTGACCGGGTTGAGGATCCGGCCAACCACGTGCATGGCACACGCCATGCTATGGTCCCAGCGCTTTTGGACGATGTTGGTCACCTCCGTGCGTTCACTGCTGGACAGCACCAATCCCGCCTCCTCCTCCTCCAGCTTCGCATTGATGTCTTCCGTGAGCTGCAGCATCAGATCGTACATCCTGCCCATCATGCCCTTGGCCGTCGAGTCGGTCTTGCGCATGACGACAAAGGGGATCTTCAGGAGGGCGACGAAGAACTCCGCACCTTTCCACCACACGGCATCCATGATCATGGTTGCGAAGGGCTCGACCGGCGGCTTCCTCCCCTTCGCCCAAGCCTGCCACTCCGGGCTCAGCACCATCTGCGTCAATGCACTCCGCACCTCGCAAAGCCGCTGCACCGCGACGAATTGCGTGCCAAATCTGGTGCCCGCCGGCTTCAGCACCTGCTTCCCCTTCCCTCCCTTCACCTGCGGGCTTCGCATGTAACCTTTGGTGAAATGGTGGGCACGCACAAAGGTAATAATCACCCCCGCCTTAGCCACAATGTCCTTCGCCCAATCCATTTCACCAATGTCCTCCATGAGCAGATCCATGACGTGAGTAGCGCACGGCACATGCTCAATGTGAGGATACTCAAGCATGAGTTCCCTACATGCAGCCGCATAATTGCTGCCCCCATCCATGCATAACGCAACTATGTTGGCGGGCCCCACCTTCTCAATGATCGGGCGCAAAACGGATGCAATGTAACCTCCCGTCTTCGTCTCCAACTTACAGTCGATGCTTTCGGTGAACACTGCACCGGAATCGTTGATGAGCAGGATGTTGGCTTGGGGACGGCCACTTTTGTCCGTCATCATGTCCGAGCCTATCGTCACGCCATCCCGCTTCCAGCTCGCAGTGATGGGAGCGAGCCCCCTCTCGATCTTTTCGCGGCAGCGCGCAAGGCCGGCGCCACCAACATACCGCCGCTTCGGGGGAACGTAGCCATGGCCCGCGTCCGTGATGCAGCGCACAGCGTTGCGCCAGAGAGGGTGATCGGCGAGATGCTCCGGGAGGTGAAGTGCCGCCCACATGAGGCAGATGGCGTCGTCTGCCGATTCCTTCGCACACGACGCCCCTTCCACGTAGAAGTCTTCGATGCACTGCTTCTTCGCTCCACCCGCACACGCCTCGATCGCCATCTCCTCCGCCTTCTTCTTCCCTTCCCTGCGGGCGTGTTTGCCTTCGTACAATTCGCGGACGGCGCCGCGGTCAGCAGAAGGGATAGGCGCCTTGCAAAGACGGACGTCCTTCCGTTTCAGCCCTTTCCAGCGCGTGATGTGTTGCGCGCAACGGAAGACGCCCCCTACGTGGAATGAGCAAACCCAAGAGCAGCAAGAGTCGTCCTCAGTGTGTCGTGCCACTCACGGGGTGCCTGGCGGAGACCGTAGACTGGCCGCCGGAGGCTCCACTGGGTACCAGCAGGAAACGACCCAGTGAAGCTAGGTGTGCGGCGCAGCCAGATCTCCTCGTGGAGGCTGCCCTGTAGGAAGGATGTGCTGAAGTCAAGAGAGTGTAGCTCGTAGTCACGCTGAGCGGCGACGTGCAGCAGCACCCGAAGAGTGGTCATCTTCGGGGTAGGGGAGAAGGTCTGGAAGAAGTCAACTCCTTGTCACCGACTGAAGCCTCGTGCAACGTAACGCGCCTTGAAGACAGGCGGAGAACCCGGCGGCCGCTTCACCCTGAAAATCCACATGCCACTGACGATGTTCGCCCCAGGCGGGGGAACCTCGTCGACGTAGGTGCCTGTGGACTTCCAGGAAGCCATCTCTGTGTCCATGGCTGTCTGCCACTGAGAGGAGTAGGGACCCTCTATCGCCTCTGCGTAAGAGCGCGGGGTCGGGATGTCTGGTGCATCCGGGTCTCCCTCAGGGGCAAGCAGCATGGACACGAGATGAGGTAAAGCAGCGGCAAAGCACTCAAACTCCTCCTGTCTGTCCTCAAGGACGTCCGTGCCAAGAGCACACTCACCCCCGACGGACGGAGGAGAGACAGACGCAGACTCAGACTCAGCAACAAGACTAGCGGCGTAGTCTAGACGACAGGCGGCAACAAAGTCAACAAGCTCAGCAACTAGAGCAGACGCAGCAGTGGACTCAAACGAAGGGTCAGTGACAACAGTGGCCAGAAAATGCGTGACAGTAGGACTAGCAGCACGAAGGGAGTCAGACTCCGGGTCCGGACCGTCAGGAAGGGAGGACGCAGGAGGAGACGGCAGAGGGACACGCTGTGGAGCAGTGGAAGGACGCAGAGTCATATAGTGAGTGCCGGGGACAGGAGGAGAAAGCTGACATGGAACACGTCGACCAGTGCGAACAGCGCGAACAGGCGACTCACGACGAGACTCAGGTGACGCAGGACGAGACTCAGGCGACGCAGGACGAGACTCAGGCTCACGACGCTCCATAAGACCTCTAGTCGGTCCAGAGTAAGGAGAAGGACCAGGCAGTGGAGAGGCTGGCTGTAACTGCGACTGTGACTGGACAGGCAGTGGACTCGGTAAGGGAGGAGTAGGACCAGAAGAAGGCGGGAGACCAAGAACCTGCTGAAGGAGCGGAACGTAGTACGGCCGCGGCCGCGCAGCGCCTCCAGAAACAGCAGAGACAGCACCAGTACCCTCAGCTCCAGGGTCTCCAGCTACAACTCCCGCAGCACCACCAGCTCCAGTACCTCCAGCAGCTTGAGCTCCAGCACCACCTCCAATAGCAACAGCTCCAGCACCTATAGCTCCAACTCCTGCAGCACCACCAGCCCCAGCAGCTCCAGTACCTCCAGTACGAGCACCTCCAGGACCAGCTGCTCCAGCACCTCCAGCAGCTCCAACACCAGCAGGACCTCCAACAGCACCAGTACCTCCAGCACCAGCACCTCCAAGACCAGCGGCTCCAGCAGCTCCAGCACCAGCAGCACCTCCAGCACCTCCAGCAGCTCCAGCTCCAGAAGCACCTCCAGCAGCAAGCCCCGTAGCTCCAGCAGCACGGCTACAGCGCCAAGCGTACCACTCACGTAGCCGCTGCGGAGAGAGGGGCTCCCGTCGTGACGGGACACCCGGAGGACCTCCAGACTCAGCACGCTCAGGCTCAGCACCCCCAGGCTCAGCACCCCCAGACTCAGCACCCCCAGGCTCAGCACCCCCAAGCTCCACACGCTCAGGCTCAGCACCCCCAGGCTCCGCACCCTCAGACTCAGCAACCCCAGGCTCAGCACCCCCAGTCCCCGCACCCGCGGGCTCAGCACCCCTAGCAGCACCTGAGTCGACAGCTACCTCGACAGGCTCGACAGGGTCTACCTGGGACACACCTGAGGGGGCAGGACCCCGAGGGGGGAGGGGGTCTACCGGAGGAGCACCTGGTGCTAGGAAGAGTGGCGGGGGGGGGAGAGGGGCAGTGCGGTAGGGA